GAGAAGCCTTTTTTTGTCTAACTTTGACTACTGCAAAATATTGGCGAAAAATACAAAAGAAAACACTTTGTGAAGTTTACTAGTTTATCCAGCTTTTTGTAAAACAACAGGAAAAGTCTGATAATTATCTGGTTCCCTTTAATTGGTGCAGAAAATAATGGGAATTCCCGCAAGTATATTCGAAAGCATTTTAAATATATTTTCAGAAATTAAAAAGGGAATATGGGTCAAATAGCTATTGCCTTAACTACAGAAAATGTGAAATTTTAAGAAATCCTAGAAATAAAAGAAATAGAAGAGTTAAAAATGTTACCATGCGCGGGGAGCTTTAGCTTTTATGGTTTCAATAGATTCAAAAATGCATTTCAACAATTGCAAAGGTAGAGCGTTTGTAGATTTCACACCGTCATTCGAGAGGGGAGTACATCGGTCTAGGGTAGGCTTGCCAACATTTTCTAAGATATTTATAGTAAATATATATAGTATTTTATTTAAAAGAAAAAGTAAAAACGATTTTTAAGTGATGGAAAATTTCTTCCTGTGAATGTCGAGATTGTTGGAATAGAGAGTAGAAATTAAATAACTTTAAGTAAATTTGATAATTCCTTCTCAGTTATGTTACCTTTTTTTAATTACAAACTCACAATGACTCTTTACTTTAAAGAAGTATAAGTATAAAGTTCATCCATTTTAATACAAATTTTTTCGTGCAAATTACTGAAAGACACTTATATTCATAATTGATATAATCTATGGTGCAATGACGTTTTTTATGGAAGAAATTAATTCCAATTTCGAATATAAAATATATAACAATAATTACGAATTTTAAGATAGCTACGTAAAGTGTTAATTTTTCGTAGTGGCTGTTCTAAATGCAATGTAAAATATTTAAGAGAATACATAATATGATTTCGTTAATATCTTCCTTTTGACCACTTTTCCCCACTTATTCCCATGCCGACAAGTAAATATATTATCACAGTAAATGAAAAATAAAAATAAAAAAAGAATAAAAATTCATCTGATCAAAAGATGATTGTACCTAAAATCTAGTGATTTTACCTAATCTACCTTTGGGCAGCTACAATTGTACTAACTTTTTTATCACTGTTCTGAAGCGAATCTGACCGCGAGTCGGTGTGAGCGTCATCCAGTCACCACCAACGCCAGCGCCGTCGCTTCTGGAAGCGGCAGCGAGAGCAGAAGGGTTCCAAATTTACGATATAAGGAGATTTGTTAGCTTGGGGCTTAAAATTTTTTAAATTTACGGCTTTTTATGAATAGATTAGTTTGTGTGAATTTCGGTAAAGGTTTTTTCTTTGAATTAGTTTCACTTTTTTTTTGGTAATTTGTTGTATTAACTCACTCTCCTTAGTTCTTTAGTTATTACATCCACTCATTACTTCTACTAATTTTTTTATTCCCTTTTTTGCTTATCGATTTTCTATTTCCCACAATTAATGTACGTACCCAATAGGACTGAAAGTTAGCTGCTCCCCAAAGGAGCAAGTACGGAGCAGTACAAAAATATCATTTTGAGTAATAACATAAAATATTTTCTTTTGAAAAATAGTTAATTTATGTACAAACATGTATGTATGTATGTATGTACATATGTATTTTCGTATGTATACCACATTGAAAAGAAAAACAATAAGTACACTTAATAAATCCTTCAACTGGTTTACAAAAACCATTATTTATTAAAACAAAACTGTAATATAAAAATTTAAATTAGCATGCATTGCTTTTTAAATGCTCACCAAGGGCTTATTTGGGAGCAGCAAGGGAGCGCTTCTTTCTAATGAAACCCAATATTAAAATACAATGAAGTATGAAATTAGAAAGGGAGCGCTCACTGCTGAATATGGAGCGCTCCAATAGCACTAATGGAGCGCTTCTGGCCCCGTTGGGTACAACCATCAAATGGTTTACAAAAACGCCATTCTTTTATTAAAACAAAAATCTATATATATATGTTTATAAAAATGGTGTGAAAAATGTATAGTAATTCATCAATTGAGAACGGTTGGGCCGATTTGGCTAAACATTTTTCTTAGTTGTTCGTAATTACGAATCAGAAAAATCGAAAATTAATTTTTTGTGTGCAACTCCTTCTGAAAGTCTTTCGAATGGAAAAATAGAAAATTCTAAGTGGAAAACTCAGAAAAATCCGGAAGAACGCTAAAATTTTTGAGTTTTATTTCGACGAAATTTTGCATCTTATCGCATGACTTGATGATTTTGGACGATGTAAGGGTGGAAAATTTGTTGTGAAGCTTAAAAAATTTCGGATAATTGTGAAATTCATGTGTGAGTTTTAATTTTTTCGTTAGGATAAATTTTTCGTTAAGTGGGCCAGCGACCGATCTATTTAAAAAACCTATACGATATTTTTTCCGGGAAGTGGCCCAGGGACCAATCTATTCGAAAAAATCTTGATTATGTTCCGATTTGCTTGAAATTTGGTGCGTAGGTAGCCTTTTGCTCAGATTAGCATACAGGATCCATTTTTTTTCCGTTAAGTGGACCAGTAACCGATCTATTCCAAAAAATCATATTAATGGTCCGATTTGCTTGAAATCCGATACCCATATTATAGATATGTGTAGAATAGAATTGAGTCATTGTTTTACAGTTCGAAAGGTGTTTGAAGGCGCCGCAAACATGCGGGTATTGGTTATTTAACAATATGCAGCAAATGTTGACAATATTTATGACCGATTTTTTGTGCTGATTACAAATCCGTTAAAAACAGCTTTAACATTTTCCGCATCAAAATCGCTGTTTCCCTGTGTTACCTACACTAATTATATAGAGAGAAGCTCCTTCTTTTTATAAGTGATGATCTCGCGAACGGCTGTACCCTTTTTTTTAATTTCAGTCACCTACTGCAGACTATCGATATATTAAAGGAGCGTGGTATCACCCATACATATCGAACTTTTCATACCGAATTAGAGATGGGGGCGGGATATCGGAACCCGCGGAACCCGCGGGACCCACGGTACTGATTTCAAATTGTCCGGAATAGGCGGCATCGGGAAGGTCTGTGAAATTTTGCGGGCGGGACGGGACCAAAATCCTTTCCCGATACTACCGATAAAACCGCAACCTTCCTTAGAAACGATGTGTGAAATATGCACCTATTTTGTTTTATCGGGACGAAAACGAACAGCAAAGCAAAATAAAATAATCGGAAGATGCCAGGTCTTTCATTAGTTTTTTCGTTATTTAAAATTACTTTGAAAGACATGTGAATTTTTCTTAGTGATAGATTTCGGGACCCACGAGACCCGCGGTATAATTCTAAAAAACGTCGGGGTGGGCGGATTCGGGCCTTAAAAATTGAATTTTGGGATGGGCGGGATCGTGACCAAATATTTAGTCCCGTGCCCATCTCTATACCGAATATCTCTGCAAGTATTTGTGGTAGTGTCCTGGAAATTTGTGTAGAGATTTTTGGGCTACTGGAAAAGAAGGCGTGGCGCTTTCCAAACATATTGAAATCTTTACTTATCTGTATATATACACCCAGGATACAGTGTTTTTTTTTATCATTTTTATAATATTTTTTTTTTGTCAATTTTTTCTAGAAATATAGTTCATTTTGCATCAAATGGCACCTAATTTTGAGTATGCAGTTTTGTAATTCACTCGATTTCAGTTTCATAAAGGGCAAGTTTTAAATGGCTATAAGTTACCGTTGATCTTTTAAAACTTTTTCGCTGATGATGTTGCCTATTTTCTCCGTATAATGACTGCGTTATAGTTTTTTTTTTTTGGTTTTTCCGAAAATGCCGAAGAGTGTCAGTATGTAAAAGACTTATTTTGGTGGGTGAACTCCTCCTAAATGACCGAAACGATTTTAATGACATTGTTTTATGTGTTTGAGTAGATCCCTGTACAATTTTCACAACTTAAAACGCCAGGTGGTGCTGGTTACTCAAAATCGTATTTGTGATCCGATTTTACTCATATTCGAGATATATATGTATTGGTAACGATAGGGGCAATACTCTTGCCAAAAAAGATGGCGTTGGAGCCATGTTATTGCCAAAAATCATCAATTCGGAGGCACCAGGGATCAAATTCAAATTACCCCCTTTAAATCAACCCTCAGAACCATTGCGGTCCTTACTTTACGGTGACTAAACAGAAAGTAGACCAATGATACTCACCAGTTTGGAAATTGCCACCAACTATACTATACAGATTCAAGGACAATTCACCATCGAGCCGCAAGGACTTCTTCCCGGTATAACGCTTTCGTCAGGTAACTTAAGATGGCAATGGAGGATATGCCTTCTGTCGACCGTGAACGTGAATTGCTGGCGAAAGCTTGGACTAAATGTTTCAATAAAAAAAATAAATAAATTTTGGCGGAACGAAGTTCGCCGATTCTGCAAGCTGTTTTATAAAAATATATATAGTTCAATCAATAGCAGTTTTGTACTTTGGCTTACATTCTTTCATATAAAAAAAATTTAGTTCTTGCGCAATACCCGCGGCACCAAAAAATAGAAAATTGAAACTTGCGCCTTATTATATTAAAATTTAATGGGCTAAAAAACTGCATACTTAAAATTTGTCCAGGAAATCGAATTGAAAAATTGACAATTTCGATGAAAGTATCTTGGTATTTCTTGAATTTTCCTGAGTTCTGTATGATGTTAAAAAAAATCTTATAGTTTTTACTGTTGAATTAACTATATTTTTATAAAAAAAAAATTAGAAAAATTTTGTATGGGAAATTTGAATAAATAAAATCGTCAACTTCCAACTACTAACTAAACTTACTTTATGTAACACATCTCCCTTTCGAGGACTAGGTCTTGGGTTTAGTGGACCTCTGTAGATATGTCCAACTCTCGAGCAAGGCGCATCCACA